AAAAAAAGTAAAGGAGCCCATCCATATGTATTCGTCTTAAATATGGAAAGAACCAGCAATGTGAAAAGACCACATTAGCTGGCCGGTTAGATCAGCTGGTTACAGCATAGTGCTGATAACACTGATGTCCAGGGTTCGATCACTATACCAGCCGGCCCCGCAAAGAAAACCCCAACTTATACGGTAAAGCTGATCCCACAGGAAAGAAGAGAACTTGGGGAACAGACAAGAACCCAAGAACAGAGGACCAGAAAAGCAGACCCCTACCATTCACAGCAAATTAAACCACATGTTTAGCTCAGCAACCCCCGAAGCCCCAGTACAACAGCCATAGAGAAATAAAGATATAAATCCAGGACGACGGAGAGAAAAAACAACAACCAGGAGACATCGACAGTGGCCAGGAAGCTAGAAGGCAGCAGCAAGGCTCACAGTGGCTGAGGAGCAGCTCAGCCACGCCCAGAGATCTGAAGCACCAGGGACAGCCAAGGGCAGAACACAGACAGGGTGCTCCACATAGCCCCTTCTCATCCTGGCAGAGACTAGAGATTTACTGCAGAGCAGAGAACTCCACAGCCACTAGCCACATTGGTTTTTTAAATTTAAAACAAATGAAATTTAAAAATCAGTTCCTCAGTCACACTAGCCATACTGCAAGTGCTCAAACAGCCATGTGACTAGTGTCAACCTCACTAGACAGCACAGATCTAGAACGTTCACTGCACAAAGCTCAACTAGACAGTACTGCTCTGGAGAGGGAAGCCCGAGAGGCTCAGAGAGGCAAGTCAGGCTCAGCCAACAGCCGAGCAGTGCCAACCAGAGAGGGAGTCAGAGGGGCTGGCTTCAGCATTCTGGACCAGGAGGCCCTCAGGACCCAGCAGCCAGGCATGTGCCCCACAGGCAGGAAAACCCGGTCCACCTAACCACCTTGTACCACAATTTTGAAAAATACCAAACCAAGGACAAGAGCTCTTAGACAGCAGAAACAATTGTCAAAATAAACTTAAGATCATCATCTTCTATGTGAAAAACAAAGAAACTGACAGAACAGCAATAAGAGAAAAGCAAAGGAGACCTTCAGATCACTCCCAGAAATTCAGCATCCAATTCACAGGCACAGCAGAAAGAGAAAGCAGAAGCAGAAAAATGATCAAAAACACAACAGAAGCAAAGTCCTCTGTTCTGAAGGACTAAGTCTTTAGCCTAGAATTGTCTGGCTAATATTCAGCATAAGGGGAGAAAAAAGGCCTAGAGCAAGTCATATCCTCATGAAAACTCAGGTCCTAGAAACTTACCAGTGAAAAAAAAGGCTCCAGAAAAAGAAGACCCTCCGAC